GGGTCTGACGGACGAGTCTGAGATCCTGCGGTTCCTGCAGCACGGCACGTTGGTGGGTCTGCTGCCGGTGCCGCATCCCATCCTCATCCGCAAGTACCAGGCCAACGCCGGCACCGCCGCCTGGTTCCGGACCTACATGTGGGGAGTCATATACATCAGGTAAAGATATTCTTACAATGATTTTAAGTTAAAATCTGCATTACATTCTAAAATCTGGATAAACGAAAAATCTTTGTTAGCGAGAATCATTGTCCAGTTCTGACGGACGACATTCGTAAGCGAGAAACTTGTCTAAGAGATGTCTATAAGCGAGAAAAATATCGCGGTATTTTGGGCTGATGTAAATTTAGGTTTGATCGTATTTTAAATGTGAAACTCAGTTACAAAAAAAAATAGCTGAAAATTTTACAGATTTAAGACATATTTTATGTATATATCAATAAAAATTGTACTATGACAAATATCTAATTCATCATCATCATCAGCTCACTATACGTCCCCACCGAGGGGCTCGGAGCCTACCCTAAGTTAAGGGTGATTAGGCCATAGTCAACCACGCTGGTCAAGTGCGGGTTGGTTGACTTCACAAATATCTTTGAATTTCTTCTCAGTCTAATTATGTAAAATAAATATTTTATCTGTTATGCTCGCTCCAGGAATGTGGACCCTCCCATCTGGTACGACACTGACGTGAAACTGTTCGAGATCCAGCGCGTGTGAGTCTCAGCAACGAGCACACGACTCTCACATTGTCTTAGTAAAAATTACATGCATTTATATATTATATCTCACACGTATAGTGGCAACACTGACGTTGCTTTATTTACATTTATATTTATTTTATTGCGATTTATTTTAAGCTAGTTTTATGCTTTAGCTGAATTAAATAGTCTAAAAGTACATATTTAAATGTAATATAATTTATAAATTACATTTTATACGAATAAATAGTAAAAAATGTCTTTTTTCGAATTTCTCGCTTTTAGTTTTCTTTTTCAGAACATTTTATTTAATTCTTTACATGAAACAGTCGAACAAACTTTCATAGTTTAATTTTCTATTTCTTTCTCACACAATTTTACTATCGATTCTGACAAGTTATTGAATATTCATAAAGCAAAATATGAATTTCTATTTTGACTTTACTAATAATTACAGACATACAAGGATATTTAAATCCGATGGACATAAGTCTTAACTAAATTATGACAGCTCACTAGCGCCCCTCTGCCAACCTTAAAAAAGTGTTATAAAAACATTTTTGTATGACAGCTGTTTTTTTCTTTTATGCCATTTTCTTTGCAGGTTTTATATATTTCTTGTCAGAACTAAATAACAAATATTCTTGTTTGACTATGTAATTTGGTTATGTAATTAACTTTGTTACGTTAATTATCAAATAGTTTTTTTGTGTTTGATACAATTCTTATATGAAACGTAAATAAAAGATATAAAGTCAATTTTGATTAAAGCACTCTAAAACACAGTGTATATTTATTAGTAACGGCTTATTTTTTTTTTTTGCTCGCTACTTTTTTGCCTATTTTATTAAATGATTGCATTTAAACAGTTACCACTATTTCATAATGTATTATTTACATTTTACTTATTTTCTTAAATTGTGAAATCATGGCAACATTTTACCTAAATGTCATTGACAAAATCGTCAGTTTATTTTTTTTTGCGGTTGGCGGGAACTTTTTCTTATATTAATTGCCAATAAAAAAAAGTTTTGGTGATAATGTAAAGCTTCTTGATAGAAATTACCGCACAGAAAAACAACGACTTGCGCGACAAATCAAATGTCTCATGGTTTTATGACAAATTCTTGCTCTCTCGCATTTCACAATTCATGCTTCAAGTAGCTTTGCCCTCGTAGTTAAAGCATTTGTAACATTCCAGTAAAAAAGTAATAAAAATTGGCTTATTTAAAGTTGATGTTGAATGATGATGTAAAAAAAAATGGCATATAATCAGTGATGTCTTATGAAATTAATAAAGTAATATAACTGTTGCCATTTATTAAAAAATAAAAAGTTAAAAAGGTTTTATTAGAGTTCTATCACCATATAATATTACATCATAGTGCAAAATATTGTCTATTATTATTAGAATAATGATATTTAAAACATGCCTTAAAGAATTTATACTAACAACGTCTCTTATATCTTGTGAGATCTTTTATACGTAAATATAAGTTGTCGAAATATAATCTTATGAATACTATAGTACTAATTCTTATTTATAACCTCATTAAATATAAATTTATAATAAAAACATTTTACGAGTATTTTTGCAATTAATATCCACGCTTAAATGCACTTAATCCTATCATTCGATTATTTTTAGTCCTAATTTTTTAATATAGTTTCGATTTACGATCCTAATTTAAGCTTTTAATTAATCATTGAATAATAGATATTTTATAATATAACGCTTTCAATGTTACTGAGGTCGGCTGTTTTATGACTTTACTAGTCATTTTACTTACGCTTTGCTCGTATTTCTCGTTATGTTTTAAAATGCTAGTTAAATATAATCTTTTTAATTGTGGGTGTGTGCAATATGTATAATACATAACAATATCCAGTAAATTTTCAACATAAATATTGATGACTAATCTAATAAAAATAGTTAATTAATTCAGGACTTCAGTATGTATTAAAAATTGTAAAGTAGGATTGACTATTTAACACGTTCAAGGCCATCGACTCTCTCTAAGTACACTTTAATGAAAACATCGGCAGTGAACGTATTAAATGCATACATACTGTTCATAATTGGTTTATTTAATTGGTTCAAAAATTGGTAGCTAAGAAAAATCAAGGTCAGTCAAACCCCCTGAATAGATATTATATTTGTGATGATTTTTACCTCCTTGTGTAATAAAATCCATTATTTAGTACCAAATATAAAGCATTTTTTAAAAAAACGATCGCTTTTTCACTTAATGTATTTTTACGTGTACCCACATTGTATTTAGGTTTAATAAAATATAATTTAGTGTAAATCTATTATTTATTTTGTCAAAGTATGTACTTAATGTTATTAATTAAAAATATATGAGAATACGAGCTTTAATTTGTTTTTATTTAACCTTTCAATGATTTCTATAATGAAAGTGGAAATGTTGGCAATACTGACTGAGCGAATTGGGAGAAAGTCAATAAACAGTCTGTACTCATTACTCAGTATAAACCCGAGCCATACACGAGTGAAGACGTTTCTGCGTATCCTACATTTTTGTAGATGTTATAACCGATATAATTCTTTCTTAAATGAGTACAATCTTAAAGCATCTAATAATAAAACAACAAGAACCACATTGACAATATAATTTATTAAGCGTCCGTTACATAGACGACGCCGGAGCCGCGCGGGCCCCATACAAAAATAACGCTCGCAGCGAAACGAACACACATCGAGTACACTAACAGTTACTATTGTTAACGGTCACATTAACTTTTAACAAACTACCCTCAATATAATTCGCAACATACGTTTTATTTAAATAATTTCCGAAACTAGATTATTCAGTTGTCATTAAGTTACATTTACGGGAAAAGTATAATTGTCACGACAATAAAAATATTAAAAATAAAAGTGTAAAATTAACTTGACCTAGCCTGTAATTCTACATCTAGTTTACTAAAGAGAAAAAAAAATTTTTAACTGGAAGTCTCAAAATAAAAATTGAAATATTTTGAGGGTAGTTTAAACTTACATACTAAAAGACGACAAGATTTTTGACTAAACCACAGTATATTTTACATTATTATGTTACAAAAAATAAAATAAAAAATTGTGCAAATACAATAAGAAATGAGATCAGATACATATAGGTTTATTTCACAATAAGTCTTATAAATATTAAAAATTCTTGTAGGCATCATTTTAAGAATAAAAAAACTACAAATCCAAATAATGAATTATTTAGTACATCAACAAAAATAACGTGAATACATCGTTATTATTAATTACTAACATTTTATTTAACTACAAGTTGTATACACAATGGACGACAAACTATACATTTACATACAATTAGTTAAAACATCTGTATCTACATTTCACTTAAGAAACATCTGTAAAACATCAAACAGCGATGATAATTTTGCCCACATATTTTAGTCAGTAAAAATCCACTGTTAAATTGATCATTCTACATTTCTCTCTAATATTGGAATATTGGAAACATATTTTAAATATACAAACATATTGCTAAGAAAGGAGCGTCGGTGGCTCAATGGTCAAGCACTTGACTTGCAATCTGCAGATCCTGGGTTCGAATCCCGCCATGTACCAATGTGTTTTTCGATTTCCGATTTACATATGTACATTTATCCGACGTTCTTACGGTGAAGGAAAACATCGTGATGCAACCTGCACATATCTGAGAAGAAATTCAAAGATATGTGTGAAGTCAACCAACCCGCACTTGGCCAGCGTGGTTGACTATGGCCTAGTCACCCATAACTTAGGGTAGGCTCCGAGCCCCTCGGTGGGGACGTATAGTGAGCTGATGATGATTGCTAAGAAATATTAATTTACGTATACAAAATATAAAGCAGTAAACTTAATAGTAATAATGAAATTTCATTCTATAGCTACGTAATTATTTTAAAATTATAAAATATTAGTTGTCATATGATAGATCTAAAATAAAGTCTTACCCAAAAAAAACATAATTATAAGTATAGAGAAGGATATCTGACCCTGTGAGGTATAAGTCAAAATAAATTATGCCAGCTCACTAGCGCCCTCCTGTCAATAACAGAAAGTGTCTCAAGATCCTTTTTCCTACTATAGCTGTTGTATAATTTGTCATCTTATATATAAAATTCTTGTGTCACAATTTTCGTTCAAGTTTGTTCCCATACTCCTACAAAACGGCTTGACCGATTCTCATGAAATTTTGTGAGCATATTGAGTAAGTCTGAGAATCGGCCAACATCTATTTTTAATCCCGCGCGGACGAAAGCTTTTAATTTGTAAATGTTTGTGTTTTTTTTATTTAAATCAACAGATAAAAATAATTCAATAATTTAAATAATTTGAACACTTGTATGCTCACGACACTTCTCCATAAGTAGAGTATTGTTAAGAACAAGACTAAAACCATAAACAATAGATACTGGCTCAATCCGCTAAGCGAGAACCATAAACAATATATTACAGTAGTATCATGTAATGTATGTTCAGAAACCCGCGATAGCAGCGCCCCTCACCGGTCCAGACATCCTTGTTTCACTATAAATAAATTGCAGTCTTTATCAAAGTCTAATTAAACTTAATCAAACAATCTAGCTTCATTACAGCTTTGCCTAATTTACTATAGGCTCATTTTATTACATTTAGGAAAATAAAAAAAAACATATATGAGAAAGTAGATAAAAAGCTTTTTTTTCCATTCCAGTAATTTGAGAATATTATTAGAACTATTAGATTATTTTGCAACATTGAAACACAGATATTTACATTTGTCTAACACCGGTTTTTTTTTGGCAGATTTTATTTGGTCTTTAATTTATTTTAGGCTCATCTAAGAAAGTAGAAAGTCCCTACACATATAAATATTTACAAATTATTGCACAAACAAGGAATACACAATAATTTTACAAAAACAACGGAATTACCAAAAATGTTACAACAAACTCCAGATGATCTTCAAATGAAAATATTTTAATTTAATACACTTATATTACTAATCCTACAAAATTCATACAAAAATAACAAAGCTATATTCGAAAGGAAGATTGTCAAAGAGATTATTCTATACAATGCAAACATCATAGACAGTTTAAACAGACTGCATTGTACTAAAGGCTAGATGTACCAACTAACTAGGCTACACGAGCTATTCAACTTTACAGGCTAGATAATCCTCAGTACCCCAGCTCTGTAGCTTGTCAAGATATTGTACTAACACCACACTAAGAACATAAGTCGCCAGTCTTTCTCAAGCTAATAAATCAAATTAGTTCGAGATTCATGATAAATTCGTTGAACACGACAGCGAGATTATAATCAATTGTCCTTTTGTTAAACTTGGTTAACTATACAAGTTCTGCAAAGAACTCATCAAGCTAGCCGCAGCGGGATGAGTTCATCAGGCTAGGTGGACTACCATTAGTCTAGTTGGAGTTGTACCTCACTGGGTTGTCGGAGCTAGACTAAGGAGTGATCGAGTTACCTGAGCTATATGATGAACTCATGTTGCTGTCCGAGCTAGATGATGAACTCGTCGGGCTAGCTGAGCGCGCTGTAGGCGGGCGGCGGGGCGGCGGCGCGGTCGGGCAGCAGCACCGCGATGTGGTACGGCGGAGGTGCCTCGCCCGCCGCGCTGCGTTCCGCTGCACGCTCTACTGGCCGCTCCGCTACACGCTCCGCCGCCCGCTCCGGCAGCCGCTCCACTCGCCGCTCGGAGCGCTCCGACGCCGGAAGCAATGCTGGCAATTCCTCAGCTACTTCAGCTATCTGAAATTGCAGTTATGTTGTGTTTAAAATTAAAGTTGTAAATATATAGCAATAAGATTTATATCAGTTGTGAGTGGTGGTGTTACCTGATGTGCGTGTCTTTGCGCGGTGGAGGAGACACGTTCGGGCGGTGCGGGCGGCGGGTGGGGTGGGCGAGCGCGGCACACCGCCAGCGCGCAGCCCAGCACGCACAGGCACGCGATGGCCGCGCACAGCACGCCAGCCTCGCTCGTCAGTCCTGTGTGCACCACCTGCACAATACAATACAAAACACACTGCTTATGTACCGCCGAAACTGTTACACTGTGCTTTTACCAACTATACTCATACTAAATTAACAATCAGCGGCAACATGAATATTTAAAAAAAAATTGTATTACAGAAAACTACACCAATATAAATCATCTCCCTAAAGTTTCCAGCTCTGTAACTAGAGGTACTTGAGTTCAAAGGTTTTTTATTCATTTGACTTACATGTCTATCAAAGTAATATTTGGCACCGGCTAAGAAAACCGTTGCCAAAGCAAAGGACACTAGCATCCCAAACTTGAGGTGCGGCGCCATCATGGGCGAGTTGTGAAGCCCTAGTGCTGCGGTCCGCAGTAGTGTGTCAGGGGTGACGCTTCTCGCGGCCGCCAGGCTTGCGATTGTGGGCTGGGGAGGCTCCGGAGGTATTTCCACATACAAACTTGGCTCCTCATTTTGCCTACGATTTGAATGTACTGAAGGTAAAGGTGGAGGCCTGGAAAGAAAACATAATTTCTGTAGTGTATGTGTCATCTTTGTCATGATTTGTGTTGCAATGAGATTTGCTTACAAATTAATTATACTTACGCATAGTGTCTAAGTGGTCGGTGTGGGCGGCGCGGTGCGCAGTCGACGGCGGCGAAGCGGTGCACGGGCGCCGCCATGCCCTTGCGCCCACGTGCGCGCCCTACGCCTGCAGTACATATTAAAAACAATACATTTACATGGCACATTGCCTACAATTATATTCTAAACATTTTCATTACAATTTAACATGATAAAAGGGTCTTGACAGACAGATGGACAAGTAAGTGATGCTATAATTGTCCAATTTTTTGTCCTTTTGCTGTATGGAACCCTAACAATATCATTAAACAATCAAATTCACTTTATTTTGTGTTGAATATTAAGAAGTTGTGTCTTAAAAATGTGAATATAAATATGGACCTTTTCAACTTATTCATCCAGCTATGTCAATTTAGTATACCTAAATTATAAGAGTCCTGAATGTGTTTTAAGAAACTCATAGCCATGTACAGAACTACTCATGTTGTTTCGTTTCGTTGTGTTTAAATGTTAAAGAAATAAAAAGGTTCAGTGATGAAATACAAAAAAAGTCGTGTAAATGCAAACGATTTACAATTTAAGCAAGAATATTTTCTTAGAAAAAAATACTCGTGCAAGTGCAAAGTGGGTCTTACCGGCGGACAGTGAGGATGGTACCCGCTGGCGGCCGCTGTAGGCGCACTGACTACGTTTGTCTATCCAGAAATGCATCGGTGCTCCAGCAACCAAGCGCGTCAAAATCAGCCCCTTTCGTAGCACCCAAACTTAGTGTACAAACACCATTTCTCACACTTTAATTTTGTCTGATTCTGAAACCATTAATATTTTACGATCACATTCATACAACATTAAATTTAAACAATTTTAATTAAACTTGAATGCTGACAACATATTTAAGCGATTAATAAAATTATTTCTCTATTCATAGAAAGTACCTGTTTATTCAACGTTGATTGACTTACAAGTAATATTCAGCATTAATTAAATGCATTTCTTAGCTATTTTGCATGTTATCAATAATAATTTTTAATTTTATTCTAAACTGAAACAAAAATGACAAGTCCCGTGGGCGGGGCGCCAGAACAAAACAAGCAATACCAACTTACAAGAATAATTTCTCAAATCAATAAAACGGAAGGTAACTGCTAGAAATTAAAAAGTCAAGTTTCCAATCAGAGAATTAAACCAATTAATATTGATTCAATTCTTTGGTAGATGTGTTTATAATTACCAGCTTTACCTTATAAGAAAAACTTATTACAGTCAAGACAAATAACGTTGTCATAGCAACTAATATATTGTATGATATTGTACTTAAAGGTAAATGTTTCTTCTTTTTTCCATGTTATTTTTTCATAACAACATATAAAACGATTTCAAAAATAAATAAAATATGACTTAATAAATTGCAGTTTAATCAATTCTTGCAGGTTTTTAAACTAAACGGATTGCGGGTTGCAAAACTTGACTTCCGGAACTTTCTAGCAAAAACTGGCAACAAGACAAGTCCGTTCTGAAATTAGGGAAACGAAAATTTACATGTTTGACATTTACATTATTGACTTGATTTTTTTTGTATTTGTATACAATGCAATTTTTTAATTAAGTAAATGTAATTCGTTGGTCCAATTACATTACTCGTTGTTAATTTAACTATCTGACAGTAGTAAACACACAATTTATTGTTTCTGGGCCCTCGCAATGATTGTAATTTATTTCTGAACGTAAATTGAAATACTATATAAATACGAGGTTTCATTTTTTATCTTCAGTCAATCAATTAAAATATTTCTGATTGTGTGGTTCTTTTGTATGATAAATTGTGCATTTTAATATATATTTGCTTTGTCCAAATAACTTTCGTTGTCACAGTCCTGAATAAATGTCTTCAATATCTTAAACATTGTTGGATATTCTGCATATAATTAGTGTTACAGTGATAAATATTTGGATTCCACTTTGATTTATGTTAGTTTAATTCATGATATAAAAGAAAGGCTTTTGTGAACAAAATGCTATCACGAAGTGCACCATACAACGATACGGACATTAAAGCGCGTCCTTATTGCCAATGTTGGGTAAAGAAGGAACCTGTACTGTGGAAGGAGTTAAGCAGATGTTCATGTGGCGAGGAAGCTGATGGTAAGAAAGATTATTATCTTATATACTTGATGTCGCATTATCAAAAAATGCACTGATTACTAGTTAGTACTTTGTTTTTTTTTTGTCTAAAATCAACTGTTTTGTTGAGTACAGCTGTTAATAGCTACTACTAAGGATTTGCATAGTTTTTTTATTGTAATAAAGATTGATGACTTTGTACAGTATTTGTAATATATGTATGTATAATATGACATTTTTTTTATATTTTTCAACTTGATTTTAAAACTACCCTCTAATTTCTTCACATTAATATTTATAACTACATGTGTTTTAGTGTTTGAATGGAAATGGCATCAGCCAGATTCCAGAAGCCAAGTTGTGATGAGTGATGACAGAAAGCAGGTTACGTTCCACCCTTTCTACAGTTCTGGAACAGCTGCGGTGCGTGGGGAGACTCCGATGGTGCACAACAATCACTATTATTGGGAGGTTAAAATGCTGTCGGAACCCTATGGCACTGATATTGTAAGTATATTGTATTCTTTTATTTTGATGAATTGTAAACTAATATTGAACTAGTTGTTTTAACAAAGTTTTTATTGTTATAATGTCTGAAATTTTCTTAAAATTAAATTGCTCTTGTAGATACCTTTAGTATCAAAAATATTTATTACATACATAATTGTATAGATGTGATATAGTAAGGACTTTGATCATTGAACTATTAAGTCATATGAGATTAGTTCTAGAAAATCAATAACTATTAAATATAATGACTTAAGATTACATAAGAAATAATTAAGAGAGTCAAATTATATACTAAGCATAGATTTTCCTCCTTGGCATTATGCCATATTTAATACAAATAACCACATTTAATTTTAAATGCAACTCATTCTTATTACACTTTTTTATGTGTCTGAGTGATCGATTTAATTATATTTTTTTTTGCGCGGAATTAGAAAAAAAATGATTTTTAGCCAGTGTGTTCTTCCAGATTATGTTTTACATCTGTGCAAAGTTTCATAAAGATCAATTGGGCTGTTCCAGATATAACTTGAAATGAACATCCATCCATCCATTTTAACTTTCGCATTTATAAGATTACTATGTATGAAGATAGAAAAAATAAATTCAAATGTTTACTGAATTATTTTTCGTAGTAAAAGACACTTAAGACTTAAATAAAGTCGAAAAGGCTTAATTTCTTATGTGAGGTCTGTTTATAGATTTAATTAAGTATCAAATGGATTTTTGGAACAACAAGAAATTAAGTTTCTAGAATTTTCATACTAAAAATATGAAAATGAATTGCTTATTTACGTATTTATGTACTTTTGATATGACGATATTACATTGTGAAGGTAATATGAGCTGCCTCTTGTTTTCTTTTCTGGTCATAATCGCCGGATTACTGAAAAGTTTACAACGTTTTGCCTCGGTATTACAGCGAACAACTGGTTATGAACGCAACTTGAAATGGTAAAGATTTATCAAGGACAGAAAGTTCATATTGTTGTATTATTCAAACCATAAACAATACCATAAGCCATGATAAAAAATTATGGACAAGAGCAAAAAGACTATTTAAAATTACGAGTTTTTTTAAGTAACAATGATTTTTTATAATACAGTTTTGTTATGTGTGCTTGTAGTAAAAATATTTGTTCCTGTCCTAAAGACTATTTAACAACTGTACGTGAACACCATAACAATTAATATGCTTAGGCTGATTACATTTTTCAATTCTTCTTTAATTCTTGAACTGCAAGTGTTGGGTTCAAATCCCGTCATGTACCAATGTGTTTCCGACATTCTTACGGTGAAGGAAAACATCGTGATGCAACTTGCACATATCTGAGAAGTAATTCAAAGATATGTGTGAAGTCAACCAACCCACACTTGGCCGGCGTGGTTGACTATGGCCTAGGCACTCGTAACTCAGGGTAGGCTCCGAGCCCCTCGGTGGGGACGTATAGTGAGCTGATGATGATGATAAATTCTAAGAAGTAATCGTATTTATTATAAAATATCTATACATTTAAATGCGAAGCCTTCTATATACAATATAACAATACTCGTAGTCTGCGAATTAATCAATAATTCTGCAACGGCGTGCAGCGCTCGCCCGGGACGAGGTTACGCTGAGCTGTACACTCGCGTAAATCAATGTCTACCTTCTCATAGAACTTTGTATATTATCAAGCGTAAAGTCAACAACAAAACATTTACAAACTGCTTCATTATTAAAGATGCATCTTATCTACCAGAGACATCAAAAAACATCGTTTACTACATAACAATGTAAATGTTGTGCCTGCCTATCCGCAAATCCGCGTTTGTTACTTTTTTAAATTTCCAACTAACGAAGTCGCGGGATACCGCTAGTTTAAAATATCTTTGCCGATAAAGACTTAGATTTATTATATAATATTATTGTCAGCTTTTATAGGTGAAATAAAGAAAAGTTAAAGAAGATTAACACTATCTTTATCTCATAAAAATATAATATATTATTTCATGCGAAATTTGCCTACATTTTAGGCGTCTACGATTGTTTAGGTACCTATATTTGGTATGACGAACATACTCCAGGCAATGTTTTTGTGTGCAGATGGTTGGCGTAGGTTCGGGCCAGGTGCCGGAGTCGCAGTTCACATTCACGTCGTTGCTGGGTCAGGACTCGGAGTCGTACGGGCTGTCGTACCTGGGCCCGGTGCGGCATGACGCGGCCGAGGTGCGAGGCTCGGTCGGCTTCTGCCGAGGAAGCATCATCGGCGTACGCGTCGATATGTGGGTCGGCACACTGGAGTTCTTCATCAATAGGCAGCCACAAGGTAAATAACACTGCGTTTTATATTCATAGCTCTCTTCTATAATACAATGGACAGGATACAAGCCGTGATATTATGTGCCAATTTGATTTTCGCCATTTTGATTCTTACGGTAGCTGATGTGAGGAATTAATAATAATATTAACTACATACATAAATTTAAATATAGTCAGTAACATTGAACATTTCTAAAGAGATCAGTGACCTAATGCGCATTCGCGTGTTTACGTACTAATAGACGATTTTGAAAACCAATTAATTTTGTTAGTAGCTAGTGTCAAAGTTAGGCACGCAATAAATCTTAGTGACATTTAATGTGTTAAAAAGAACGTGGGATGTGGTAATGTCAATATCCGCGTTACAACAACATAATAAAGCGTAACACACCAAATAAATATCTGTTGAACTTTGACTTAAATTGATTCATTGTTTACGATACAAATGGCATTAACCCGATGTGCCAGACAACCGGATAGTGCAGTGACCATTCCTCTTATTTTCACATCTCAAAACTAAAACAACAATTGTGTGAATTCGTGCTTACTAGCTGTCGCCCGCGATTCCGTCCGCGCCCAATTAAAAAAAACTTAAGTAGTAGCATATGTGTTTTTCCTGACTTCTACACCTATGCCTAATTTCAGCAAGATCCATGCAGTCGTTCTGAAGATACCTTCACCATACATACATCCATCTAAACATTCGCATTTATAATATTAGTAAGATTAAACTCGTACGAAACTTATCGTTTTTAAAGTGTATTAAAGTAGGTCAAAATATACATATGTGTATAAAATATTATCATACTCATTGTAATGAGATTCAGTACGCAGAGAGGATGATTTTATCATTAGCACATTCACAAATTAAATGCACAGTAAGCGTCTCACTTAGTGTTCATTAAATGTGCAGTAGTTAAATAAACAATTTATGTAGGACTAACCGCCTTCCGCCTTTAAAGGCCGCGATTCCATTCGCGCATTAAAAAAAAGTTAATAAATAGTCTACTACGTTCTTCCAGACTATTTTCTACATCTAAGGCAAGCAGTGAGATCCATTGAGCCGTTTTGAAGATACCTTCTAACAAACATCCATCTAAACTTTCCCATTTATAATATTAATAAGATAATGTTGGAGTGTTACTATCGGTTTTAATTGACTCGAACTGATAGCGGAGTTACGTAACGCTCTCAGGTCATAACAGCTAAGGACGAATAAAGGGCACTGTTATATAGAAGATATGTCTAACCGATAATTAACTTGCGTTTACATTTCTCATAATCTTCAGTCACGATATGTGCCAAAAGTGAATTTATCAGGTATAAGAGCGTCGGTGGCTCAGGGGTTAAGTAATTGACTTGTAATCTGCAGGTTCTGGGTTCGAATCCCGCCATGTACCGAAGTGTTTTTCGGTTGACTATTTACATATGTACATTTATCCGACGTCTTATCTGCGAAGAAATTCAAATATATGTGGGATGTCAACCAACCCGCAGTGGGCCATCGTGACTATGACCCAGTCAACCCTAACGTTAGGGTAGGCTCCGAGCCCTTTGGTGGGGACGTACAGTGATACGTCGGGCTAGCTTACAAAAATTCATGATGAATTTTTGTCGGGACATGACTTTCCACTTTAATATCGTACCAAAATATCTTAGTTACAAATTAAAAATCAACAAACTGCTGACTGTATCCTATTTGACGTCATAGTTCACGGCACGTGCAATCGATCGCCTTCACCTTCTATTAATATCACGTCGTTAGCCACTGAATATTATATTACATCTAATCATGAAAGTCCATTGTCAAAATACTTGTTGTACCTTTAAATCTTGATTGAGTGAGAAAGTATTTAACGATGTTATCCTAGTTATTATTTGAAATGCAAAACAAATATATAACGAGAACAACAACATACATTTTCCAGTAGCCTTTGCGTTATTCTAGACCGTAATCTATGACATAATTAATCCATATCCGTTTAGTCCTTTAACAAACATATATGTATGTACATCTGTCCATATATTCGTATGTTGATTTATGTTACAAAAGGCGTGTGTATCTACAATCTGCGTCGTCATGAGGCGCTGTACCCAATGATCTGCTCTACGGCGGCGCAGTCCACCATGCGGCTCATCTACTCAGCGTCCTGGCGCGCCTCGCTGCTGGTGGACGCCGCCAAGGTGCTGGCGTCCAGCGCTGCCGCGTCACACCTGCGTCTGCCGCCGGGACTCTGGAACACCTTCAAGTCACACTTCTGGCTCACGCTGCCCACTGAAGGTGAGACAGAGTATTTAAATACTGTATCGCCATGTATGTATTTTGTACGTTAGAAAAAATTGCAGCTAATGTAGTCTCTGCCTTTAATTAGACTGTGACCTGACCATTGCTATTTAAAAATAAATTGATCGTGTTTACTAAAGTATGCCAAGCGACAGTTATCTGTGATCTCTATGGAATTAAATGGTAAACAGGAAATTATATTTTGGTTATGCAAAACAAGAACGAAGAGAATGAGGAAATGATAATACTATCAGAGGCAAGCGAAGGCGTGGGCAGACGCCCGAGGCCTCTCGCTTCGAGGAGTTTCGCCCCTTCGAGATATAACCATAAAAGTATTGATCCAAAAATTAATAAAGAGTTTAACTGAAATCTAATCTATTCAGCGTGGATTAAAATTTATAGGAAATCAAAATCTTCAAATTGAATATTCTTACATTCTTTTTACAAAGCTTGAGATAAAATGACCTTAAATGTTAAGTGAAGCAGACTACAATACATCAGTGAAAACTACACTCAAGTTGGTTAAGCAGTTTCTGAAATTAGCACCCACAAACTCGCAGACAAATCGACAAATTTTAATAATTAGAATCTACAGCTTCCAAAAGGCTATATATTTACTATGCGAAGATTTTGTGGTTTCGTACAATACATTTTTCACACCTCATATCGGTATATTTGTTAGGCCAACGACCAACGTATATAGAATCAATAACATTAGACCTAATTAAGAAATAAATGTTTATTTTTCACAACCACACAAACGGTTAAAACGTCACTAAAGCTATAGTAACTAGGGGCCTACCACGAATGTTCGTGAGAACGATTTCGTAAAGGCTTCGACTAAATTTTTACTTGAATTTGTTGGCGGTTGGTATACTTTACGCCCAGTAGGGGTTTGTCAAAGACGTAATGAGTACCTACTGCCAACTGCCGCCCTAATATTCCTGACTAGCTGTCGCCCGCGACTCCTTCCGCGCGGAAATAAAAAATCTACATCTATACCAAATTTCAACTCGATCCATGCAGCCATTCTGGAGATACCTTCTAACAAACATCCATACATCCAAATGTTCGCATTTATAATATTAACAAGACACCCTAGTATATGATAATCTCTCTAATTTTGTTACATTAACTTACTTTCTTATCAATTTCAGTGGTTGAAGATAAAGAAGGCGAGGCGTCTACATCAAAGGTTGTGCGGAGAACTTCCACTGCGGTAAGTTAACACTATATTTTAGCATGCGTAAATAGATCAGTGGAAACTTCATTAATGCTGCTAACAAGAACTTTGCTTTTAAAAACATATGCAACACTAGGTTTTTTTATTAAGGTCGCACGAAAATAGTTTGTTATTTAAAATAGTATATTAATAACAAAATTATTACTAAAATATTTCACTTCATTGCTAAAAAATTTACGTTATTTCGTAAAATGTAGGCAGAAAGCTTGCAGTTTGCTAACAAAAGGGTCGTTTATCTATTACGACATATAAACATTTTTTTTTATTTTATCACTAATATTTTTAACAGACTTTCAAAAGGAGGATGTTCTCAATTCGTCTGTATGTTTTATTTTTGTTACGTTTTAACATCGCTCTTAATTGTTCGATTTTCATTTTTTTTTTCATTCGAAAAATATTGCGTCTTTTTTTAATATTTATTGAAAAATTAAAAATTATGCACTAGTTTTTTTTAAGTTTATATCTATCAGTTTTTCTACAAATCTGTAAAAAAAATTACTTTTTAAAGGTAATTTCTAAAGTCACTCGATATTTAAGACATGTATTCGATAGTTAAGGTCCACTTTCACTGAGGAAATAAAGTAAAGCAGTAATTAAAAAATGATAAACAGATTCATAATAAGAGCATTTTTGGAAATAATAGTGAAAATGTAAAATGTTTATTATTTTTGTTTTATCTATAAAATTAGCATATTAATACAAATTTAGCTTCACAAAAAAAAGTTACAGGTGTTAGTGGAATTAGTGAAGGATGCATGCGTTTGATTGTTGCTTTTGTATTTGTGGCCTTGCTTGAATTAATTATATTTCATTTTAGAACATCTACATAATTAAATGAATGAAAAATATGACTAAAAGACATATACATGATGATTTTAATGTACTAATCATGTCTTCACAATATTTTAGCTACGAGAAGATACGAGTTTTCTCTCTTAAAGAAAGTAAGTTTAAAGAATAAAACGTAAATTAAAATTAATAAAAATCGTTCTTTTTTTGTTGAAAAGTTGGTATAATTATGCTATTAATATTTTATGGCGATTTCTGAGATTTTATTTTTGTTGCACGAGAACATTAAATGTTGTGGCCTGTGTATTGATCATCCATATAATTTCTCCATCTCATCATTCCTTCTTATATAGATGGGGTCTGTCATAACATATGTGCCCATGTAGGGGCTGCGTCAAAACATCAATTTAAAGCAATATTATTTATGTGTGTTCACTTTCATTTGACATTGCAAAAGATTTGCATCAAAATTAAATGCAACCAAAAAAAGGGTATACATATTTCATAATTTTGACTTATACGGCGATATGGTCACATTGCCCAAATAAAAAATAATGATACATTTCGGTAGTAAATCTTTTGCAATATGTTGGTAACCCTGGCGTATGTTCCCCAGGGTGAGCGTCAGTCGTTGCCGCGCAGCCGGCGGCGCAACTGGCTGTTGTTGCCGCGCAGCACTCCCTTAATGCGCCAGATCATGTTATGACATATCAGACACACTCCGCGACATACCCACATCACCCAGCCGCTCATGTACGGAGAGATAGCCTGGTACATGAACAAAGATAGATATCATGATTAAAAACATCCCCTCTGTATACACATGGCTCTAAAATTGACTTGACAGTCTGATTAAATTGGACTCTATAGTGTTTTTGACTTAAGTCTCAATGTCTAAGTGTTTCGATGTCTAGTGTTATTTTTAAGATGGACAATCTTGCCATTAATTCTTCTGTGACCTGTTTTAATGTTATCTTTAAGTTTTAATGTGTTTTTCAATAAACTAGCAAATTTCCAAAGAAACTTGGGTTAGATTTAAGCTTACATATTTTACTTTTCTAATTTTCTTCATACTGTAAACGCTAACTAGGACGCTCTTGTGTGCGATGACCACTATTGACATGTTTAACCTTATTGGCTAATCTGTTGTACTATATTTAATAAAAAAAATACCTTAATTTATTTTCTAAGCCGAATTGCTCTGTTTTAAAATAGGTTACACAGTATTTTTTAAATTGTTTAAATTATTGAAAAAAAAATGGATGTAATTCAAATTATTTCGATGTAAGTGTCAATGTTTAGATATGATTAAAATAAAAATATTAATAATATCTTTTATTTTTTTAAAGGAAAATTCTCCAGAGCTTATGCTTAACAAATTCTGCGAAAGCTTTCTGCCTACACCAATCAATCAAATAGCTATACGACTTGAACGCGTCTGTGGAACATATAATTTCCATATTTTAAATAATGTGACTTATTTACTAATATTGTAAAAAGGATTCCACGTAAGATTTCCATCAACCAACTTCTACATAGTATATTAAATTTTGTTACATGATTTTTTTACGTAAAAATTATTTATAGTTTTCACTGCACACATGTGTACACATTGTTCTGTTTTTTTCAAAGATAAATGAGTTTTTGTACAGGTGTAACGGTAACACAAACAGTTTGAAACATTTTCAGTGGTGGCAACATATTTTGTATCTGTTATTTGCATTATATTTATAATCTACATGATTTTTTTCCAGCTGTCGGAATTCTTCAGCAGCCAGTACATGAATGGTTTCTACGTTGACAACGTGGAGAGGGACTTTCGTATTGTCGTATGGCAATAAAAATATTATATATATACAAATATATTTTTGTAGGGAACTTAGTATAGTAACCAATTGTGAAGTTTTTAGTTTAGGATTCCTTAGTGTAGATTTATTATACCAAACTCTTACCTCATAAAAATTACGCAAAGGTCTCTAATAGGGACCAATAACGACTTTGAGTGCTACCGTAAGCAACTCCGAGGCTACCCGGTTAAATCGACAAAATAATAAACATTATTAAAGTTATTACCCGTGTAAGATAACATGAAATCATTTTTATCTTAACCAATACTCTGTTTTCGTTATAGTGCATGTCTAAGCTATACTGTATTGATCTCGTTAAATATATTTCAAGTTAATTTATTTAATTTAACATAGCCACTGTAACGTCATTGTACTAAGATCTCATGTTCTTGTGCACGAGTAGTACAGCAAATCTCCATAGTGCCAATGTGCAAATTCTATTTTCATATGGCTCTAGTCATGGCAAGATATCAATCAACTTTTATCGGACGATAGTTCACTATGAATTTGCATTGATTATTTTACAATTACTTTTACACGAATGTAGATAAGTTTCATTCAACAGTTGAAAGATTTTGATTTGACAAGTTAGTTATATTTTAGTAAAAGACGCAATTATTAACATAAGCATAGAAATGAATAGAAATATGAATAATTGTACGCTATTTTCGATAAAATGTAAAAACATTTGTGCTAGATTTAGGTTATGTATTTCCATAAATGATTATAGTATTAGGATTATATTATAATACTATATGCTTTTTGAATTAAATAAATAAAAACTACGAAATGTTTCATTTCTTGTCCACTCCAAAACCGTATTTATATCTTAACTGACATACTCTTCGACAAGTAGCTACGAAGCTCTGTTTAAATTGAGGGATAAAAGTTTCTGAGTGCGGTAGAGATGTGTATTTCCGAAAACTACCATTTCGGTAAGGTTAAATTTAGTAAATAGCAACACTAAGAAACGTAAGTTTTTGACCAATCTGTCAGTGTCAGTTTACGTCATACCGTGGATCTGTAAAGGTGTATTGCTTGTGATTTTAATTCCTTGTTTTTATTAAATAAAACCCTAAGCCCTAAATAAGCAAGGCTTTTTACAACTGCGGAAGTTGTCTAAAGTTATTACGTTTTTATTAGTAATAATTCAATCGGAAAAGTTATAAAGATGACTGGCCATGTAAGTATGTCGCATCTTATATATTAATTGCTACTTATGAGTAAGGGACGTTCACTTTTTCTGGGCGGGTCCCTAAAGTTACAAAGAGCATTTGAATTTTTAATGTAGAAAACTTTTATAATAATAATTGATGTTACCTAAAATGTTAAATAGTGAAAAGATAAAGATGCCTTCAATAGAAAGTTTTGTCGGGCCAAAAGCCACCGGTTTTTTTTTCCTGATCAAATAACTAGAGCGTGAGATTTGACGTGACAGTTTTTTTTTGTATACGATTTCAACTTGACTGTTGACTTAGTACTAAATTTAACTCTCCAGTGGTATACAAATGTCAGGAGTCATTGATGTTTATTCAAAGCTAGTTTTCAGATATACAATGTTGTGACATTGAAATAAACAAATCACTTATATCAGACATACTATGCATAAACAGTTGCTTACAAACTTATAGTAATAAAAATATTTAATGTTTAACCTACATCCTATGTGTTAGCGTGAACCAACTGTAGTGGGAGTTCCCAACTTTAATGCAATGGAGGATGCGGCAACGCTCCGTGCTGCTATGAAGGGCTTTGGTACTGATGAACAGGCTATAATTGACATCCTCACTTCACGCTCCAATGCCCAGCGTCAGGCCATCTCACAGGCCTTTACACATGAATATGGCAGGGTATGTTACTCTCCTTTGTTCTTTTCGTCTTGTTTTCTATATACAAATTATTAAAAAGCATATAACAAATGTCTTGTTTACATTTTTGCTTTTTCTTCATAGTCGTAGTAATCAATCATCTAGTCATCTCTTGAAGGATATCATGTTTCATACAATTATGTAAAAACGAGTTTTAAATATTGAATTATTATGTTGAATACATTTAAGTATACTATAGTAATCTCTTTTGTGTTTATAAATATCTGTTTAATCAATACATTTTTCAATTTTAATAAAAAACATCATTACCTTTTGTTTTTTTTTTAAATTTTCATATGATACCAATTATCCTTTCTGGGTCACTGGGACAATTAGATTGTGTTAAAAGGCGCGACCTTCCGTGTTGCCCTTAAACCACACCTATGATAATATTACAATGTAGCTTTTTTCCGCGCGCGGAATTACAAAGTAAATAAGTAAGTAGTCTCATTGTGTTCTTTTAGACCGTGAGAATATTCATCCATAGCAAATTTCATCAAAATCTGTTAATCTGTTTTCGAGATACATAAAAAATAACATCCATCCAACCAAACTTACGCATTTATAATATTAGTATGATAAGGGTCTTAATATTCTGCTCATTTTTAATATGTGTTTTCACACTGATAACTATAGTTAATTTTAATTTTGTATATTGGCAGTATTGATACATTTTGATATGTGAGAAAATAGCGTAATAGTTATAATGATGCTGAACAAAGACAGGTGTGTTTTTCGAGTTAGTGTGTGTGAGAAATAACTATGGAAAACAATATCATGATTCATTTCAATTACACGCCATTATTAGTTGTTTGCATGTTGAATGAAGGTCACAATCTAAGTCTATCGACATGTTTTATCTATAAATTGTCAAAAAATTACGTTGCTTTGTAGCTTTTCATTATTTTTTCACACGATCTGGAACAAATATCGATTGAATTTTCGCTTTTTCTTAAGGTGACTTAACATATGTACTAACTATGCCCGCGCGGACCTAGTAACATGCAAAAATACGAGATACGTAAAGCCATCTTAGAGATATGAAAAACAAACATCCATTTCTCCATCCACCCAAATTTTCATAATTATAAAGTTAAGTATAATGTCTATTCCAGGATTTAATAGAGGACCTGAAGTCAGAACTAGGAGGTCACTTTGAGGACGTGATTGTGGCTCTGATGCTGCCTCCAGAGGAGTACCTGTGCAAGGAGTTGAACAAGTGCATGGAGGGACTCGGCACCGATGAGAGTGTGCTCATTGAGATACTCTGTACGCGCACCAAGAAAGAAATCGCTGATATTGTGCAAGCATATGAGAGATGTAAGAGATCATATTTTGTGTCTGCAGCAAAAAAAAAAGTTTAACCGAAAACATCAAATTCAGATTAAGGCAGATATCTATATCTATATAGCTATAAATCTATCCATATTAATAAAATTAAAGTGTTTGTATGTAATATTGAAGAAAAAAAATCGTACACATTATGTTTTTGCATAGCTGATAATGAAGAACTATTTTTTTTAATCTTTGTCTGTCTGTCCGCACGATTTTATCGGCTGTATCGATCTTGACAGGATCTACGGGAAGGTCGTTGATGCATATTATAGGATTTTTTTTAATTCTGTGCCGGCGAATGCGGGCGACTGCTAGGTATCAGGTGTGTATTGTGTATGTGTTTGTCAGTGTATGACCGGCCGCTGGCTGAGCACATGTGCTCGGAGACTTCAGGTGACTTCCGCCGTCTGCTCACACTCATCGTTACAGTAAGTATTGCTTCTAAACACTTCTGTCCCGCAGTGTACGCTGTGACGTCAGCACTCACGTCTCATGTTATTGTTATTAATTTTGTGCATGATTGTACGTTTTAGTTGTAATGTACGTTAAGGACGTATGTATCTTTAATATTGTTTTTTTTTCATACTATGTTTTAATCTGAAATCTTATATATATAATACTCGTGTCACAATTTCATTCAAGTTTGTTCCCATACTCCTACAAAACGGCTTGACCGATTCTCATGAAATTTTGTGAGCATATTGAGTAAGTCTGAGAATCGGTCAACATCTATTTTTAATCCCGCGCGGACGGAGTCGCGGGCGACAGCTAGTAACATATAAACTAACAACAGCCTGGATGTTGCTTGTGCATTGATTTTCTTTGCAAACTAATGTTTTGTCTGAATGAGTTTGATTAAAGATATTTTGAAATATCTGGATTGTCGAGGATTGTCTAGGAATTAATTGTAATGAATTCTATGCATGACTTACGTTTGTGTGTGTGTGAATCTTTGTTGTTTCACAAACTTTACTTTGCTTTCGCTGAGAAATCTTATTGCCCTCGGACAGACACACACAACTACATTTTTTTAATGTGCTAAAAGTGTTTAATTTTTTTTCGATGATTATTATTTAGCAATGTGTATGAGACACAATGTGTGTGTGTGTGTGTTGTGAGGGCGAGAGATCAGTGCGAGGTGTGTATGTAGCGAGCCCCGCAGGGCGCGCGGGACGAGGAGGCGGGCGTGGACGCGGCGCGCGCGGCGGAGAGCGCGCAGCAGCTGTACGACGCGGGCGAGGCTAAGTGGGGCACTGATGAGGAAGTCTTCAATAAGGTATTGTCACATACTTCAACACACTGGTATGACTGTGTGAAAGAGATGGATGGATAACTTGTAATCTGTAGGATTTGCGTACAAATCCCGACTTATACCAATGAGTTTTTAAATTTTCGATCTAAATATTTACATATATCCGACCTTCTTACGTGAAGGAAAATATCGTGATGCAACCTGCACATATCTAAGAAGAAATTTAAAAGATATGTGTAAAGTCAACCAGCACTGGGCAGTGGTTGACTATGGCCGAGCCCCACAGTGACATCGTAGCGAGCTGATGATTTCAATTTCAAATATTAATAGATCTTGGCGCACGAGAGTTTTGCGCAGCTGCGGCTGATCTTCGAGGAGTACAAGAACATAGCTGGGCGCACTATCGAGCAAGCTATCAAGGCCGAAGTCGATGGCGAACTCAAGGACGCCTACTCCGCTATCGGTCAGTATATTATTGTCATAGCTTACTACCTAAAGATAGAAACCTGAAATATTTCTTCGATTTTTGCATTGCATCGAAAGTTACGTGTAGGTCAAAAAAATTCTTTATTGTTTAGTGTAGTCGAATATTATTTTAGCAACTTTTGATAGTATTTTGAATAGCGCGGTTTTATGATAGGTGCGATGTGAGTAGGGCTCGCGTACTAACGTGCATTTCAGTGGAGTGCGTGCAGAGCGCGGCCGCGTTCTTCGCGCGGAGACTGCGCGCCGCCATGCAGGGACTCGGCACTGACGACACCACCCTCATACGTGTCTTCGTCAGCCGCGCTGAGGTAGACCTCGCAGCCATCAAGAGAGAATACGAGAGGCTATACGACAAGACCCTTGAAAGCGAAATCAGGGTACGTGATCATAGCTCCAGTTATACTGGACGTGAACTGCGATTTGTGACGTCACATCGCACGTATTGTGTGTTCATGCGACTTCACGAGGAGGTAAGTGTGATCAGGTGATGTTGGAGCGATGGAGCGGTGTAGCGGCTACTGTAAGAAGGTCTCCGGTATGGTGGCGGCGGTATGTATAGGTGGGTGTTGTTACAGTGGAGTGCGTGGAGAACGCCGGGGCGTGGTTCGCGGCGCGGCTGCGTGCGGCGACGCAGGGCGCGGGTACTGACGACGGCTGTCTCGTGCGCGTCATCTGCAGCCGCGCTGAGATAGACCTCGCCGGTATTAAGAAGGAATACGAACGTCTCTATGATAAGACGCTGCAGAGTGATATTGAGGTTTGTACTCTATGGTTCTGTAACGTATTCTTTGTTCGTGTGACGTCACGTACATACATCAATATCTCTCTTGAATTATTCTTTGATGGGCAATTTACACATTTAATTAAAGAAAACAGTTTATTTTTTTTTAAATATGTGACGTGCCATAGAATATGGAATACGTTGCTTATTAAGATTAATTTATCTTTTAATCACAAATGTAACTGGCGATAGAAGGTTGAATTATAAATAAAAAAGTATTTTTTTAAATGAAAACTTTTTTCCTCTTATATTAGTAAAAAATTCTTAGTTATATGATGCACTGGATTAAAATGAAGTAATCCTTCCTTCGCCAGTATCAATAGCACATTATAACAGCATGAAAGTAAGATTTTTCATTATAATAATAATTTCGAATGCTTTAGTAATGCTTTGTGTGTTGTTACTTTGATGTTCTTATTGTGTGCAATAACAATACATTGGTGTTTGCATCGCGGCTGCCGGTGGCGGGACAGCAGGTGAGAGATTTACTACATTTTAGTAATATTTTAAGTTACTGTACAATTTCTGGTAAATAAATAAGACTGAGTTAGTAAGAGCGAGCTATAAAGTACCCAATTCAGAGATGTTGATGACAGATAACCTATAAAGTATTTATCTTATTAGTAATATGTTATTTTTAATACATTAGACATATTTTCTTTGCCTTTATGGGTAAGCTTTTTAATATTTATCTTTATATTAAACTATGCACTTATATGCTAATTTAAAGTAAATAACATAATTCTACCATCCAAAGTAAAGTAATTTTTAAATAAACAAGTTTATCAACGCGCAAATGTTTTTGGAAGGTGGAAATAAATTATAAGTTACTAATGATGCCGCTTTCCCTTCACGCTGTCGCATGCATCGGTCACGGCGCTTGTCCTGTCGCCTGTCACCACTACTTGTCACCTGTCATGACAACCTGTCACCTGTCACGACAACAATAACATCGTACTCTGTCGCGGCGCGCAGCAGGGCGAGACCTCGGGAGACTACAAGCGCGCGCTCGTGGCTTTGCTCGGACCGGCGTAGACTGAACGTCGCGAACTTCGTGGGAAGCTAATAGATCTAATTCTATATAGACATGCGTCTAATTTTATAGATTTATTTATATTGTGAGCAGCTTGTTTGCATTTAGCTTAGATTTACAAATACCCACCATTTCGTCCTTGTAACAGACTATAAAATATGAAAATATTTATATAGTAGATTAAAAAAAATTGTTGAAATATTTATGTGAAAGATCTGAAAATCTGATCGTTTACGATAACGATAAAAAAAGAAATAAATCGAGTCAATTAATAAAATTAATAGATGGATTATTTATTTTGATTTTTTATAGATTATAGAAAAACGTACATATAAATTTATACAAACTCATCGCCTTTATACATGAAAAGAATTATATCTTGATATTACTGCCTACATATAGAATTATCATCGTATTCAATATTAATTTTTGTCTATATATTAAGTGGAATTTGAAAAATATTATCATTCCGATATTCCCATTTTTGTATGATTGCAATTGGCTTATTTCTGCTATTTTCAAATGAATTTATAATTGAAATAAAATAAATGTTACAATAATACTTATTTGTTTCATTCGTATTTCTCATTTTAAAAATATAACCTAAATATTTATTTCAAATGATGTAAATGTTAGCGAGTTTATTGACACGCTGGAGAGTTATAAAAATAAAACTTCAAATATGGACGTGAAACGTTTATTTGCTCACGAACCTAACAGCCATTCATAACCTGCTAACAAATTATAACGTAACTTCGCGCAAACAAAGTCAATACAAATACTTGCAAATACAATGTCGAAGCTAAATATTTTTATAGTATTATCCACAAAATATCGAACGAAAGGCGACTTTAAAACTATAACATTGAAAGTTTAAAATGCAGTGCAGTTTATCAACATCGAATCTTCCAGCTTAAGTACATATTTGCTAATTCATACAAACACGTGGCACTGCATTCAAAGAAATCCGCAAACAAAACAAGAAACAATTATATACTCTCACTACATTGCACTTAGTACACATATAGAATACGGAAGCGGTCATAATTTTTATATATTTATAATCAAACAAGAATATCTAAACCTGTGAGGGGCGCTACCATCGCAGTTGCTTCTGTCTGTGTATTAAAACCTACTTTGATATACAAAAAGGATCTTGTACCATTTTCTGACATTAACAGGGGCGCTAGTGTGCTATCGTAATTTAGTTTGATTTATGGCCACTGGTTCAGATATCCTCGTCCGTATACAACTTTACATCACTAAATATAAAGGAACACAAGATAGAGGCAGAGCAAGGTAAATAATACGCCTACTGAAATACATCTCATCCTAATACACATATGCACAATTTAATCTATGGTCCAAAACAATATGTACATGATCACAGTGTCTATGGATTCCTCATTGTGATGTTCTGTCCATTATTATAGTCTGTATACGACTGAATATTATGATTAATATAAATATAATTACATGATAACCAATAAGATGTAATAGCGTAAATATATAAAATAATTTGTATAAGAGATCAGAATAGATGACTACTGAAGTTTCTTATCACAAATATGCAAATGGCCGATTTCCCACCAGTCAAATTTACAAACACTAATTAAATAATAAAAATTGTGCAAAATCTCTACGTACATTAAAATCAATTCTAATCGTTACGTTGCGTCTAAATATTTTGCGTAATCAAATTTTACTGGCAACACTAATTTGCATTTACAATTTTCTCATACATTTTTTGAGACACAACGTCTCACTCTTTTCTCATACAACAGCTGTCGTTTAAACATGAGTATAAACAATTAAATTTACTTTTTTTCTCTTCCTTTACGTCATTTTCGCGCCAAAGATTAGTCAAGCAAAATTGTCACAGATTAAAAATTAAACTTAAACGAATCGGTTCATTAAAATACAGAGTTAAATTGAGTAATTAATAATTTAAAATTCGTTATATGCATTAAAAAAATCTATGTACAAGAAAAACAGTTGGATGTTATTAGTTTTTTTCATGAAGAAGATGTTTCCCGGATTGTTTTGATACAGAATTTCCGGGTCATAAGAATATCAACACTCACTGATTCGAGGACCAGCAGCAAAATGATTCCCGCCACACATTTTACCAATTTTAGTATATCCTCCTCCACAATCCACCTGATGTTAAATGGCGAGACGTGTCCACGTGTGCGGTGGTGTGGGCGTGGCTGTGTGCGATGGTGTGGGCGGGGCCGAGGGTGTGGCTAGTGCGTGTGTGGGCGGGGCGCTCACTGTATGTCGAGGCGGGCGCACAGCTCGGCCAGCGGCAGCACCTGCTCGTCGTTGAGCGCGGGCTGCTGCTCCGTCTTTGATTGCTCGCGCAGTTCTGAACATTCAATATTGACATATATAAACCTTAGTACGTGACTAGAGTAATAATACAATTATGAGTATGTTTATTGCACAAATTTTTAATTAGTCATTTAGGGAGGTCCTTAGCGTTGATTTCTAATACTAAATATATATTAAGGGTTTAATTTTAACGGCTCTGCCGCAATGAGCCAGCGTCGTTGATTTGGGCCTAAACACTACTCCTAATACTAAACTTAGGGGCGGGATATTCTATGAGCTGATGTAATATGTTTTTTGTGTTATTTTAAACTATTTGTAATGTATGTACAGTATGACATAGGATTTATTGTGTAAGGATGGATGCTATATTGTTAAAAAATATAAAAATGATGTATATAATATTGCGAGTACCATGCCACCGCTGCAGCAGCGCGCTGTAGTGCTCTGCGCGCTCGTGTCGCTTCAGCTGCGTGCAGACGTGCACCAGACCGCGGTAGTCGTACTCCAGCCCGGAGTATCGCTCACCGAACAGCTTCAGACCTGCACATACATTTTTATTGAATAAGCCAGCGCTTGACCACGATCGCATAATTGTTATCCGGCTCGTCAGGACCCAAATATAATACAGGGTGAGTTGACACGTTGAGAACTAGAATACTTTTTTACTCGACGTGTCAAATGAAGTACCAGCAACAATACAGACCTACAGAGTTTCTGACACTGAAATCCTGAAATCCTTGTAAACATATCGTCGTCTTTGACAAAACAGAGAAATATTTTAAATAGGTTTTTTGTTCTTAGAAACCAACGATTAATCAATTAATGATTACTGCTGACGGCTTTCATTAGTGACCAATTAACGACTCTGAGTAGGATTTAAATCTTTAGCGGCTACAAAGGAAAGCCTTATTGTATGTTGCTCATACATAAAATAAGACAGAGTGATGGAGTATGTATACTGACTGATGGCGATGGAGCGCAGGTAGAGTTTCTCAGCGGCGCAGTGCATGTTCATGTGATAGTTGTAGAGGCTGGCGAGATGACCCACGCTCAGCCCCACCTCGTAGTCCTCCGCGCCCAGCAGCTCCTCCTTGATCGCGATCGCCTTCAGGTGCATCATCTCCGCGTCCTGTTCATTACAAACATCAAGTTTTACATCTAAGTACTACGAATGTGTCGACTCGCCTGCTCGAATATCACCGACACATAGAAGATAATTTCAAAGTGGACTGCGCGTCTAGTCAGATGTAAATCGCTGGAACCTAATTTAAGTACCCTTCCTTTACCTATCTTTTGTTTATAAAAAGTAGATTTAAAGTTGCATAATCTTTTCTCGTAGCCAATACATTTGCATTTGCGCATGTCTATAGGTAGCGGTCATTTCGCTATTTTGGCGAATTCTAGTGGTATTAAAAACAATGTTAGTACTTTTAGACATTATTAGTTGGAATCCTATGACGCGAATGTCGCGCTTTCTTTACAAAGTGAAGTGTCAGTATGATTAGTGAGGGGACATAAACGTGGACATTTTAGTAAGGCTAGTGTTACGCCAGTACACCGGCACAGTGTCGGATTTTCTTCCTAACAGTACATATATACATTGTTTTTTTATGTCAGATAGTGTGAAAGATCTACCTGGAACTTCTGCATGCTCTGGTAGAGTCTGCCGAGGTTGCCGTAGTGCTTGGCGGTCTGCACGTTCTTCTCTCCGAACGCCAACATGGACAGCGCCAGCGCCGCCTTGTGCAGCGCCTCAGACTCCTCCAGCAGGCTCGGCTCTGCAACAATCGCATTATTTACTAAAATCAATTACCTAACTATTAAAGTACGTAACGTATTTAAGACTACAATATTTCCGCGTCCATCAGCTTCTTTCCAGTCAAAATTGGTACAGTCGTTCCGAAAATTACCCGGAGCAAACCGGACACATAAAAATAAAAAAAATCGTTTTTTAAATATATAAATCCTATGACACTACATAGTCAATGTGTCAGTTTTTATCTATATTTTGTTGTGTTTGTGTATGTGTGCGTGTGTATGAGTACATACCGCTCATGTCCTGTCCGGCGGGCGTGTCGAGCGCGATCTCCTCCAGTATGAGCGCCTTCACGCGCTTCGCAGACGCCAGCAGCAGGTGATCAGGCGGCACCAGGTTCTGTACGTCACATCAAAGGTCCTCTCATATACAGATATTATAACATTCAAAATTTGCAAATGGAGGAATGCGCCTTCCGGAACATGTGCCTAACGTTGCTTGTTTGCAACCTTATAATAAAAAAGGTATAGCGAGTCGTCATAAAGTTATTTCGTGATGTAGTTACCTCAATGATCCTGATGGCGCGCTCAGCGTGGTCGCGCGCCTTGTAGAAGCGGCCGGAGGAGTACTCGAGCACGTAAAGCGCGTACGCCAGGTCCTCCTGCGCCGTCGCCACGTGCAGGCTGCTGCGCCCGAACACACGCCGCAGTGTCGACAGCGCCTCCTGCACCCACACACACACAACATAGGGAAGGGAGCTCAACGCTCTACAACGCTAGTCATGAAGTAACCAAGTGTTACCTCGTATACGGCGACGCTGCGCGAGATGGAGTCGACGTTGAGCAGATAGAAGCCGTAGTCGAGCAGTGCGTGCGCGTGCGCCGGATGTCGCGGCCCGAATGCGCGTCGGGCGAGCGCCACCGCCTGCCGCAGCAGCAGCCCCGCTGCTGCGAATCTCCGCTTCACCACGCACGCCTTGCCGCAAGCTCTGATCACCTCCACTGCCACCCTACACACAACACACAACACAAATATAATTAAATGTAAATGATGCGATCACAATGCCACACGAGTCGTACGATAGTTGTTGTACCTGGCGGGCGCGTGCGGTGTGAGCAGGGCGAGGGCGCGCGTGCTCCAGGCGTGCGCGGCCCCGTAGTCGCAGCGCACGAAGTGCAGCGAGCTGAACTCCTTGCACAACCGCGCCAGAAGCGCTGCGGAGGCGCACCCCGCGCGGCATCCTGCTGCCACGCACGCTGTCGATCTGTCACATACACAAATATTGATTAATTTGCAATTATATGTTTTGATAAGTTTGTGAAGGAGGAAATTATTGCAATATGTGACCTGTAGTCGTCGGAGTCGCAAACTGAGTGTCCATCGAGCGCGCGCAGACAGGCGCGGAGCGTTTCGGGCGGCGGTGCGCTGGCGGGTGCGGCGTGTCCCAGCCCCAGCAGACGCAGTGACAGCTCGTACGTCTCCGCCGCAGCGGGGAAGCAGCAGTACGCCGATTGAGTGTTCAGTAATCTGACAATATTAAGTAAACACGTTTACACATCTGCCCTAGGAAGGTATGAAATATGTGTTAATGTGTTTGTGAGTGTACCTGTGGCAGCACTCGAGCGTGAGGCGGCGGTAGCGTGGCGATTGCGGTTGCGCCTGACATAGTTGCCGGCAGCGCAGCAACACACGCTCCGCGTCCGCATACCAACCAGCCTCGTTGAAAAACCCGCCTGGAGACACGACGCACAACCCACATTAAATTAATAATACATTCCGCAAACAACCTATTTAGTTTTTCCACACTAGTATCTTTGTAGATAAAGATAGTGTAGTGATAAAATTGCCACCGACCTAGCCTGAGACCGAGCTGTATGAGATAGTCTCTGGAGCGGTCGCTGGACTCGCACCGCATGATATACGCCCCCGAAAGTTCCACAGACAGCTTCGAGCCGTGTTCAATCACCGCCTGCAAAATTAAAACGCAACTAATTAAATATGACGTCGACGAATAATCAATAATAAAGAAACTCGAAATCCAGATAAGTCATCTAGTGCTGAGAAAAACTGTGTCAGTATTTTTTAAGAAACCAGTTTGAAGTGTAAAAAAATATCTTTTACAAATGAAAAAATAAATAAAAGATAAAACAAACCTATACCTAACAAAGGGGATATAAAACAAAGCTATAAAAGTTAGTCACACGTTAATTAAAGTGTTGACGCAACCGAACGAGTTGTGTTGAATTGTAATATACTTATTATTTTGAAATGTACATCACTAAATGCGTACTCGTTTGCATTTTGAAACTTATTGGTTTTATAGCATTTTTTTCCGGAGTTTAATGTAAATTTTATCAAATACGAATCGACTCAATGCAATGTGCTATTATAACAAGTAATAGAGTAATCGAACTCGCGTAAATCGGCGGAAGCCATAACAATAACTTCGGAAATGTAAAATCTAAACAAAACTGTATGAATGTAAATCAGATATAATTGATACTTAAATAGTTCGTACCATCTTTTTACTCGTACATTAACGATTGGACATTGTTGACATTTCCAATGGTTTTTTAACATAAAAAGAAAGATCATATACAAGTTTCCATTCAAAAGTATGTTTTATTTTTTTCCGAGTTTTTTCAAAGTTGTTGCAACTTAAAATGCATTCCTAAACTCACTATCTAAGAAGATTTAAAGTTCTCTTCAACGGTAATGGAATAATTTTAAGATAACGTTTTGTACAAAACACAGTAAAAAATTTAAGATTCAATTTAAATTAAAACAACTACATGTAGGTGTAGTTGGGGGATAGTAACAACTACGTAAAGAATATACGTTGTTAACCGGGACACGTGATGTTTATTCAGCTGACTGTGACATTTGTACAAACTCGCGAGACCGTGTCACCCTCATAGCATAGAAAGGTATACATAATATTAACATGTTTATCTACAATCAGTCTATCTTGACTAGTGTACATTGACCGCAATAACACGTCATCGTATTCAAATAATTAAAGATTTTTCCTATATTTTATTCAGCATTTCAAAGGTTTCATCAGACGCTTTTTTATAAATAAAATATACATTACATTTCTGAATTCCTGGTACACGATATTGATCGTCGCCTTCCGCGTAATGGATTGAATTTACACGCCAACTTGAAAAGGGTGAGGACGCAGACGGCGAATAAAAAGTACACCTTGCACTCGGTATATCGGATTTCTTTGAAAAGTCGATGTATATTTTACTCATATATTGTAGCGGACACTTACATTTGTAAACAATAAAATAGGCTCGATGACCGCGGATAACACTCGCCTATCATAAAAGTTATTGTCATAAATAAATGTATGACGCAAACGTAGCAGAGTACAAACAATGTAAATAGCCGAGTGTGCAGAGGGCCTAGCACGAATATTTACGACACGCATCTTCGACAATATATATCCAAATTTGTATGAGATTTTTGGTATACCTTACGCCCCGTAGGGCCGCTGCACAAATTTTGTCGATGGCGTTACGAAGACGTTCTTATGATTCGTGCGGCAGTTTATAAGCCGAATCACTTCAAAATATATTTAATCACTTGACACTTGAATTAATAATTAAAATTATAATTCAAACCACGCTAATAGGAAGACATAAAATGTATAGTGCGTAATTCACACCGTGTAAAGCTAGATATAGAATATCTATTTGTTATATCTACCCTAAGTTGGAGCAAATGATTATTGCAACAAAGATTTCATGTCAACACAACAATTAAATGAAAACAATAGACATATTGATGATTGCGTGTTAATTAGAACTATTGTCATGTAGAAATATTATGAAATACGTTCTAGTACATGTAAATTATCATTATATTGTTTTGCAGCCTACTTAAGTTAATGCACTTGTTACGTTAGCATAACGCTGTTCGTTCTACAAAAGCATTTCATTAACTAGTAGGTAATAGGTAAGTATTTAACAGACACGTATAGTGCTATCCAAACTTTATAACGGCTCGCAATTTAACATTAGATGCCGGGTACTACCACACTTTAGTTATTGGCATGTTATAAAGAGATACGCCTACCCGTGGTGCAGTCCTGCACAGGCATGCGTTTGCATCTAACCCTGAGCTGGCATAAAGTCTGTTGTAATACCTGGAAGCACTGCAGCAGTTTCAGCTGGGCGCCGGTGAAACGCAACAGCCGCTCAAATATATCCAGCTCGGAGAGCTCCGCACCCAGGATACAAAGCCGCTTCTCCTGCAGCATCTGGAAACAAACATATTAAATTAATACTATTACTTTAACCGTGCAATAAAACATATATTTGTCTCTGTCTATTTTAAAGATAATAAGAGGAATGTATATTTTTGTAGTGCAGTGCATCGGAAACCATTTGATTAGCGAGACATTTTATTTTCATTTACGCTGGTATCTTCATTCAATTAGACTGTATGTTTTTTTTTATTTCCAATGTCTTACATCACACTCTGTTGAATAATTTTGTTACATTGAATAATACAATGTTCGATCGTAGATAGTACGTACAATACCCGCATTTGAACATAAACGCGAGGCCTTGCATAATAACATACGAGAAAACCCTGACTACAAGAATTTGCAATGATAAAATGTTATTCAAAGTCGCCGATTGTGATGTAAATGATCATTATATGGCAATCTAGAAGGTTGGATGGCTTTAAGTACTAAAATAATAATTATAATCTTCACGAAACTTTTAGTAAACTTTTTTTTTATAGTCTATGATGTAGGACAATTTAAATTGAAACAAAGCTGAGTTAACCGCCGCACTCAAATACGGGTTTACTAACGAGTAGATTAAACTACTGTAAGTAACAAACGTCTCTGACCGTTGGTTTCTTGAACCAAAACCTGCGTATAAATCATATCGTTTTCTCTGTCATAATCTGATAAAACAGAGATAACAATATGTTTAAAACGGAGTTTTTTGGTCTCAGAAATGGTGAATGCATTAAGCTAGTTCTGAAGGCAACCGCGATGGCATTTGTTTTTTTGCGTGACGTCACATGTTGATCTAGGTCAGTTAGGTAATTGTTGTGGCACGGCCGGCGGGTGTCATTACGACGTTCGCTATGGCCTTATAATTATATAACTGTTTCTAGCAACACGAGATATGCACGTGGCATTCGGCTCTCAACGACAAAGTAATAGTATAATTACCACTTTATAAGAACTAATACATTGTAATGCAATCGGCACATAACATAGAAATTGGAAAATATAAATCTAACCTATCCACCTGCCACCACATTTGACTAAGGCCTCGTCTCTGCTGCAGAAATATGATAATTTATTGCTTACTTTACAATGTCTAAAGTTACGTTGATTTGAACAAAGTACCTTAATTCTACTGAAATTGCATACGTCATCTAATATGACAGTGTTTATTGAGAGATATTCTTTACTAGCTCTCGCTCACGACTCTCCGCGCGAGATTAAGAAAAACTTAATTAGTAGCCTATTTTCTTCCAGGCTATGTTCTACAACTATGTTCAATTTCAGCGAGATCCATGCAGTCATTCTGGAGATACCTTATAACAAACGAACATCCATACATATATTCATATTTATATACTAGTAATTAGTAAATATTAAAGTTGGAAAGTGAACAAGTCTATGAGTTGTTTATATTCTCTGGAATAAAAACAAAGGACCATAAAAAATTAAATTAAAAAGCAATCTGTCAATATGCGGTACATTGGCACCAGCGTTCGCAGTCGACATTCCTACAATCTGGTCGTACTGGTTGATATTTAAAACAAAAACACATCGCTGCTGATCTGGCGCGCCCTTAATTGCTTTTACATTCATGAGTCAGGGTTAGTGCAGGCAAATTGGACAAATCATGACAGTTTTTTTTTAAATACAAAAATATTGTAAAAGGATTAATAGCTTGTATGCTATGTGTATATTTCTTAAAGTACAATAAAAAACAATCTTACTATTATTATAAATCCAAATGTTTAGATGGATGCATGTTTGTTTGAAGGTATGAAATTTGGCATAGATGTAGAACATAGTCTGGATGAACACATAGGCTACTTATAGGGTGTTTTTAATTCCGCGCTGACGGAGTCGCGGGCGACAGTTAATAATAAAAGATGATGTCGTCGAAATGAGGTCGTGTCTAACAATAATGACGTCATTAGCACAGGCGCCTGTCACCATATTGATTGTATTAACTGAACACTTAGTGCGCTAACTGAACACATTAGCAACTATGTATCGCATGTAATTATTAACATAACTACATACAAAGTATAACAGCACTACGTGGTTCTTGCAATGTAAATACAAAGAGTAAATGAATGATAAAAGCACAAAACATTCACCCTAGACATGCCTCCATGTTCACATTGTTAACACGTTCCATGCCACTACGAACAACGAAAAATTCCTTATGTGGAATAATTAGGTATAAACATATTTCTCATGATATTATGAACTCGCCCAGCAAGTCAGTAGTACTGAATGGGTTAAGATTATACTATTTACCTCCTTCATGTCCGGGTGATCGACTTTGTTCATACATACATATAATTACATCACAAGACGAAGTCGCGTGCTCTCACGACTCGACTCGACACTCACGTGTGTAAACATCGCATATTGCGTTCAATGTACGGGTCGACACGGTTGCTCGATACCTATATATAAATCGATATACACTTATGAATTATCTCGCTCTTATTATTATTATAGTACAAAGTACATTCGAGGACATTTATTTCCTCTCCATGACATAGTAAAATATAATTTGGCTTACAATTCAATTGGGATGAAAACGAGTTATATCAACATATACGCGATGGTGACAATTTTCTACAGTAATAACAACTGCTACCAGACTCAATCCTGGGTAGCAAATTAAATTCTTTGACTATAAGTGGCCATGTTTATATAACATACACAAAGTTCATCAGAAAACCTCACCCCAGTAATGACTCAAACGTCTTTAATGAAATGACATCGATGTGGCTTCTTACCCGTACTCGAGGAACTAAATCTTACCGAAATAGTTTGTTAAGTATTATATGCACATGTGCGTGTGTGTTTGTGTGTGTGTGAATCATAAATAAATACAAATAAAATTGAAACTTATTCTTGTTTTCTTCATATTTCAGAGACGTTATAGCAAGAAATATTATAAACATGATAAATAAATGAGCGGCACATTACGTCAAGGATGTAAAAATATTATTTATCAAATTTCCATACAAATAAATGATAAATTTATACATATTAATTTTTAACGTTTATTGTGATTGTATGTTATTTATGCTTGTATTTTGTACCTTGACACACAATCAATTTACAAAAGAAATTTACATTTCCTGCTACATTCAGAGTTACATACAAGAGCTTAGTATAAATTGAGAAATTTACAAGTAAACAGAATGAAAGGACGAAGTTATTTGTTTACTGTTGTGATACCCTTAATAGTTTTCATGATATCAAATGTTGAACAGCGGAAATTGATACAAGCTTCTTATCGCTAGAGTCGATGTCCTGAACAAGGAAATGCACTCTGTTATATCCTCAGAAACACGATACGCACAATTGCTGGTGACACGGAGAAACCAACTCACATCCTTAGCAGTTTCTCAAGGTATAAGCATTTGATTTGTAATCTGCAGGAACTAGGTATGAATACCGCGTGAAGTCAATCAGAGTTGGGCTAGCGTGATTGACTATTGACTAGCTATCCTTGACTTGGGTAGGCTCGGAGCCCCTTAGTGGGGGACGTATGGTAAGCTGATGATGACCCAAAGCAGTCCATATCAAACGGATGAATGATTAAAAAATCAAAATTATACTAGTAGAAGATCAGATTAAATTATTGAAAATATACATAATATTAAAAGTAGACAAAACTTCTAGCCTTCTAACTTATTAAGATGTCAAGGGTCAGCGTTTAATGTCTCCGTTTTAAATACCTCACTACTCGCCTACGTGTAGAACAAATATTTATGAACGAGCTTATCTGAGCAATTAATCAGACTTATCATAAAATTAACATTGACGTGTAAAAATAATCAATCAAAGTTTTCCGCTGGCGAGTTCGCTTGTCAGTCGGCGCACGTCATGAGACGTTGCGTTGAATTATTTCCCGTTGCCCTCGGCCAGCCAAATCTCCATTCAATCATTGCTATTGATACATAGTTACTGACGGATAACAATGGATTTGACTGTTTGACCTATTCTAGGCTCTAAGGAGGACAGCGTAGAAAATTAACAACCGTCCGTAGTAGCAATCAGCTTCAGAGTTTTTTTTTATTGAACATGAGTGTGGATGTCGATATATCATTCTACAATGAAAAACAATGTTTAAACAGTGTACGGTTGATTGTATTTAATGTATAGCGTGCTTGATGCTCTGAAGACTATATAAGGCCGTGAACATATAAGTGTTCATTAGAGAGCCTGGCAACAAAATAAACGAGTATTGATTGATAAGTCGATGTTGCGGGAAGACGGACAAGGTCGGCAACGCGCGCGCCAAAACTTGCTTATCTGTTTTTTTAATATTAATAGCCTGTGCCAATTGTCGCGCGTATCGTTCCGTGTTTGTACGTGATTCGTACTGGCAACTTTAATTCTGAGCGCATACAGTGTGGCAATTGCGTATTGTTGAAGTGGATGTAAAACGTTCATCCTGTTTTTTTTATTTAGACTTAGAACACATAGAACAAGGCAAAAGCCTTTTTTGGTTTTGCTATGTGGTAAAATTTGAGTCCCATTTGTCACTATTGTTGCTTGTGAAATTTTCAACCTAAAATTTGTAAATTACTGATATTCGGAAAATACCATTGCATTAATAGTCTAGAGGACATCTTCAAGGAAGTTTTTTCGATATTTAGTAATAATTTCGACAGTCCAATTCGACACAGAAATAGAATCGAAATCAAAACGGACTGGTGAGTTGCGTTGTTGGTTAGGCAATAAACAATTGATCTCACGCAAGAGCTAGTGTAAGTAGAAGGTCGGCGAAGGGCCCACTTTCCTCGGATGTGGAGCAACAGCGCGGCCTTGACCGGTGCGCCGAAGCACCACGGCTTGACGACGCGACGGCGGTCAACGCACTCCGCTTAGCGTTGCAGCCGACTGTAGCCAGCAAACATTGGTTATTGCGACCAGCATTTCCTAAAGGAATCATGACGAGACATGTAGTAGTAGGTAGAAATATTTTATTAGATTAGCTTCTTGATGATCAGAACTAAACATAA